TCATTTCACGTTGGATTATGGTTTGAAATATTGGGCACACTTCGATGTTTTATGTTTTGCTGGGTTCTGTAATAATTTTGGTCCTCTTCCTTTTGGCACTAATATCAACATTTTTCTGATAACTCATCAACTTGAAGTCAATTTATCGATTGCACCTCCTAATTTTAAAATCCCCCACTCGCACTTATTGCAGTATTAGGAGAACCAATGGGAGAATCTATGTTGAATCGCTCACATCGATTAGTTTGGAATTAGTAATAATTTGATAAAATTTCTCTGTTGTAAACTCTATTGCTTAAATGTCGGCCGATCGTGAAAAATAACATGGACATCCTCATTGGAATTCCCAGGGGGTTTACTTATTAAATTATCATGAAAAGGACCTTTACACAATTCTGACATTTTTTGCAAGTATGTCAGTCATGTAACTGTGATGTCAGAAAAAATGAGGTTTAAGCATTTTTACTATTTGTCTTAATAGTACGTCTGTACGTTGATTTCTTAAAAGCAAGGCACGTGGGACAAAATGACGAAAACTGAAATTTTTAGTGCACTACCTGAGTCCATATATAAGCAAATATTTAATCTGATATGAGTATCTCTAAATACAATTAAATGGATATCGTTTTTAGTCTAATAGAAGTATTGATGATTATTTATTAAATAATTGTACTAATGGTCTTATTAAAACATTGCATTAGAGGCCACGAAAGTTGGCATATCCAAAATCAGATTATAATACATGTATACCATGATCATGAATTTCTATAAGTATACACACTGACCCATTTTGTCTTGAGTCAATGAGTTTATGGAACTAGATATGGCTCTATCATCATAGATAAATATTTAGATGCAATCTTTGTATTCTAATATAGAAATAAGATAGCTAACGTTTTAAATACTTGCAGAAATGTCTATATTTGGGTTCATTTATTGAGTGATTGTATTGTAAATAGAGGCCGTGTAAATAGGCTGCACCTTGGCTGTATCTACAAAAAAATAGAACAAATAAATCAAATTTCTCCAACTTAAAATATTTTTGTTCGTGAACAACTATGAATAATTTACTAAATAGATATTTTGCAATGTAATTTGTCCTGAACCCACCATTTTCATTGCTTTACATGTTACTGGTGATTATAAAATAAAGGTATTGTATTGCGATTAATATTTCATCATTTTCTTCACAGATGACGTGAACGTAATGTCAGATGACGTGAACGTAATGTCAAATCTGACCATGCTTATATTGGGGGGGGGGGGGGGCTGTGGATAAATTGTAATCAATTTAGCCACTAGTCAATGCAAAAGGACAAAGATATATCTTGATATGTTATCACATTATCTAATAAATAATATTGGATGGCATATTTGGAAATCGGGTTTACTCAATATCACATAGAGATCTTAACTCTTTTAATTAATTACTAAATTATAACATTGTGTGAACTTTGAGATTGAGAAGCCAGAGCAACATTACGATGACTATATATATCAGCAATATTGCTATATAATATAATTTCAAATGATACGTAAATTCTCCGGGGCAAATTGAATCTGTATTCCGAGATTTGGAGGGGATACACCAAATAACGTTCTAAGATTTTGAAATCAATAATTATAATTGTATGGATGAATAATGGGGAAACTCTCTTTTCCATTTAAACATATTTTAAGTAAAAGTGTATTTTAGCCTGTATTCGTAGGAATAAAACCACAGACTTAAATATTGATAAAACATTATAAAACTAGGTAATAAAAAAGTAAAACTTACCTAGTCACTATCTTAAATGTCTTTGTTTGTAAATCAAGATTCGTCGTGTTAACGTCCCAAACTTTTACATCAACAACCAGTACATAAACGTCTCAGATTATTTGATTCAAGGGCGTGTTTTTAAAAAAGTATGTTTAATAAAAAGCTTATTTACACTTGTCATATTCGTTTTCTTGAAGACATCAAGACTAATGTTTGAATAATATAGAATGGACGGAGTTAAACCTCAAATTCTTCAACATTTGTTTATTCAATGTTGGTTAGTCTACACATCGTAATGGTTTGAAAACATAATGTAGTCAATCGTGATCTGAAACACTCCAAGTATAATAACTCTCTATATGCGTAAAGAATGGCATCATTCGGGCGCACGTGTCCAAAAGCCATCTAAGATTTTGTCTTCCAGCAATCGAATCTTGTTGAACCTTGGTTTGGGGGATAACGGGGTGAACGTTGTTACATGTTATTCTGGGTTTGTTAGTGAGCACAAGATAACACAGCAGATGAAGACAAAATACGTTGTTATCGTAATTTAATGATGGTTTAATAGGCTATAGTTTCAACCTTTTCTAAGTTTTATGTCGCTATGAAAATTATGAACACTTGTCCTTTGATATCTTCTATGGTCCTGTATACACACACAAAATGGTTTAATATTTTTGGTTGTTTTAAAACCCTCCTCATTAATTGTATAGTTTCTAAATAGCTGAATAACGCTGAGATAATAGATGTCACCCTTGTTTGTCTTTGATTTTCTTGGGCCACACCTCCATTCAGTTCAATGCTAGAAACTTGCAATTGTCACTTAATTTCATGATTTGTCAAAAAGTGTTGGTTGAATCTGTCTGAAACTCGAATGGCATACTATTGGATGATACTGTTTATGTACATATTGTGATTAAACATGAAAATGTTGGTTGTCATACGAATAAGCCAAGGTTTTAATGAATCTTAGCATTGCACCAATGGAGATTTGGCCCAAGTTTTTTTAAAATGTCATGGAAAATGATTTAAATGACACAACTGTGTAAATCAAACTTACTATTGGAGGAAACTTGTCACTGAATTCAAATATGCTATCAAAAATAAAGAAAATAAGTCATTAGAGGTAAAAATCTCATGAAAAAACGAGATTTAGCGAGATTTTAAAGCTATTTAGAAACTACTCTATTGAGCTTTGCATTAAAATATCTGCCAGAGTATGATGTCGCCTACATCTCTCTGTCGATTAGACATTCTCAAAATTCATTTCGTTCGTTGCGTACCTTCACTACCTCTCTGACGTTGTTAAAATAGTTCTAAAATTCCCGGGGCACGATCTTAGAAAGCTTCAGAAATTAGTACTTTCTTCATTACGAAATCAACAACGCCAAAACTTTGACATTTCACAAATCATAACGTCTACATATGATTTTACCATCGAAATTGGTAATCAATGTTGTATTTGATGTGTTTTTAGGTAAAAATCTCCGCGGAGCAACAAATTGTAAAATGTCAAGATCGATAATCACTGGGTTCAACATTACTACACGATTTCAAGATGTCGGTGTCAAAATTTTCTAAAAACGCTTCAAATAATATTATGTTAATTTCTGGCGAGTTCACCAATATCATAACTTGTTATCTAACAACAAGATAAAGAAATATGTAAGAAATTCAATTTTCTTGATTTAAACATCACATCGACACGTGGTATTCGTTTATTAGACGATTAAGATTACGAATATGGGGATGACGTCACTTCAAAACGAACTGCATAGCAACGGTGTTAATAAACAATTTCTGTCCTTGCAAATTCCTAAGTATTCGTTTTGAACAGTTTCTTACGAATTACTTATAATCTTTTTCTTATGAATGAATTCTAACCACATTAGAAATAAACATTTTATAAAATATAACGAATAAAATCAGCAGCAAACGCAAAGAAATATATTTTTTGAAGCAGGTCAAAATATTTAAAAGGGTAAATTTCGCGGGAAATTAAAGAACTGCATGAGGTAAGGCACAGGAGGTACGGATGGCACTGGACGAAAGGCTCGGAGACTGTCGATTAGAATGTTAAACGAATTAGATAGAACATTTCTACATAAGCCAAGATAATATTGATGCGAGTAGAAATAATTTTGATTTATAGTTCAGTTAATGTGATATCACATTTGAAATCCACATGTAAAATAACATCTAGCAATGTGAATTCAAAAATTGTTTATGAACTTTGAAAATTCAATTTTCTTTGAAAATGTGACTTCTACGAGGAAATTCACCATAGATCAGACGTCACAAAAATTTGGAATTTGGACAGATAATATTGGCCACCCCGCCACAGTTACAGCCACGTTTACCAGGCTCGTATGCGTACTAAGAGGCGGTGTCCAGGTGGCAGAATCTCATTTTAAGGAAGTTGTAGTAATTGAATTGATAATAGTGTCGCTGAATACACAAAGAAAGCTAAGAAATTAATATGTATACGTTAATAATTTAACTCGAACACACTACTTGGTAATGTTTCACTTTTGATCTATTTTAATGCAATATTTACACATTTGGATTATTCCTTTTGATTAATGTATATCGTAATCAGATTTCTTCAATGCATACAACTGCAATCGCAAAGGTATTTTATATTCTCATTTGTCAACTCAGTTTTCCCGGGCCAAAAAGCATTTTATGTGAATAAACATATCATAAAAATAATCTCAAATAAGAAAACATATTTTACTTGTTCAATGTGACAATGTGTTTGGTTAACATGAGTCTAATGCTAAGTCATATGCATAATATTATGTATGCCAATAAGGCTCGACAGTAATTGAAGTTTAAACTAATCTGCTATTTGATTTCACGTTATTGACATCTATGTTAGTTTTTGTATTTTCTGCATTCAATTGTTTCAGTTTGGATCGAGTGTATCGTTGCCAAGGACTATTTCAAACACCTCAAAGATTCTTAACGAAGTGTTCTTGCAGACTTGTAACGGCACACCCATGTTACCAAACATTCCAGTGAACAATTTACAAATGACGATACCAGTGGAACCATACCCAATTGTGCTCCTAGTGACGTTCAATAAGTTTCAATATTATGAAACCATTCCATACATAGAGCTTCTTTATCGGGACTATTTTGAAAACGTACTGTACTGTGGCCCATCAAAACCACCGGAGCATATGATACATACTTTCCAGATGAATTATATACTGTTTGAGCAGAATGATCATGAATTGGGTGGAGCATTTATATACGATTGTACAATGCAAGCGATTAATATGAACTATGATGCGAGGGGAATTCTTTACATGTCCGATGATGTTCTTTTAAAAGTTGAATCCCTAAGAGAGTTTAATATGAGCGAGATTTGGCTGTCAAACTATAAGTATGGGGAGGATGAGAGGAGGGATTTGTTTATTGCTAGTTATATTGATCAAATTAATGGACCAAAGCAGTGCCACACGAATAATCTAACGTTACCCTGCAATTTCACCAACAGACATATCCAGCCGTTTATAGCTTTAAAAAGACAACTCCTTAATGTCCACACAGAAATCTTAAATAAAATAACATTAGAAATTCATGATGATAAATTCTTTACCAATTTTCTGCAATCTTTGGAAGAACGTTCGGGTGGTAAGAAACGATTTTTCAAAACAATAGTGGATATCTATTATCTCCCGAAGAGCTATTGGGAACAGTTTAATCGACTTGCAGAAGTATTTCTCAAACACAGGGTGTTTATGGAGCTCGCTGTTCCAAATATTCTACATGGAATAGAGATATTAAATGACCATCCAGTCACGCTTCTGGAAGCTAGAAACATTTCCAGAAGTCAAATGATCCCAATCTTATTTCGGAAAAAGGCTTGGTATGCTTGGCATCCTTTTAAACTAGGGACGATGGCACATGGGGATAAGGATACAATTCAAGCATATTGCTCGTTGTTTCATGGACAATGGTATAGGAACCCTCAGTTTATAAAATAATCGTATGATTCCGCATTTATTTGAATTCACTTTTAACTAGTTGATATTAATATCAACACGAGTTATGCTATCAGTGAAAGGCCATGAAATCGTGGCTATTAGCAGATCAATGATACTTAGTAGAATGAAAGAACATTGGACAAATAGTTTTACATTTGGGTGAGCTACCTTTTTTGGCTCACCCTGTGCTATGAGTTTGGCCTTTGATTTTTTCATTTAATTGATTTTAAATAAACAAGCTGTATTCAAAATAACTCATTTTATTCATTCATGATTAAGAAATACATTTATATACATGTAGTGTCCATTTTGATTCAATAATCAATATAGATTTTGCACATATTCATAAATTTTTGCATTTGATATTCACAGCGAAACATTAAGGAAGAACAGCACACAAGAAGGCTATAGCATTAAATAGAAATTTTTAACATAGTAATACACATAAATATGGTTCTACATTTAAATAAATTTTATGATCGAACATAGTAATACACATAGTAATACATTTTATTCCAAAAATAGCATGAATATGAGTTATTTACTCAACAAAATCTACCAACTAGTTTAGAACTATGTATCAAGTCCCACGGATGATTTATGCTGTCTGCTACAGAGGTCAATGTGTAAGATATATTGAACAAATTTGGCATGTCGAATATTGATACAATTTTATAGACTCGTAGATAGTCTGCATGTGCAAAGTCATCAATTTGTCAATTGAAGCAGTTCGGATATAGTCCTGAGTAAGGACACTGGCGGTTACCGTTAGTGATTTGGTTTTCTGTATAAAAAGTCATTTTTCTCCTTTCCTACCCCATTGGAGCGCCATTTGGCGTTTGGGAAGTGAATTGGGACTAAATACTTATAAGGTAGGTCCTGATTTATCTGAAAACATGCCAAAGTTCAGTGGGAAATCTCATTTTAAGCTGGCGGCGGAGTGATTTTGACCTTGGTGATTTTACCAGAATTCTCTGAGAAATCTGACGATAGAGGGGGTTAGTGTCTTCAAGTTTATTTATCTCAAAAATTCGGTGGACAACCCATGGTAAGATTGTTATAGCAGTCTAGGCGAGTCTCTCCCGAACACTGTGGTATGTTGCACTAGGCTTGGATACTAATCGTTAATAAGATACAGGGTAAAATGTTATAATGGCCACCTATGGGAAACTCTACTGTGGTCTTCAACCTTCATGGCAAGATAGTATAGAAATGTAGATGCTGCAGACATGTAGCACAAATGTTCTCTTCAAGGTAAGAGGAGTTAGCCTGAAAATAATAAAAAAATATCAAAAATGATTTAATTTTTGAATGCTCTGAATGCTCTTTTATTAATACTAGCTAAACTTGTTTTTGATGTTATAAGTATACAATACAATATTGAACAAAACACTCAATCAGGCTGGTGCCCGCCGATGGATCGGAGCAAATGTGAAATTAATTACTATTATAAATGGATTCTTACAATTATCTCCCAAATTAATCTACATTTTGAGTCTCGATCAACTTAAGATCTTCTGAGAAAATAAAGATTTCAATAAGGGTACCATTGACTTAAAATGGTGATGCATGTTCAATGGTCTCAACGAGTATATTTACGTAGGAGAGTATTACTAGAATCCATTTTCAATAATTAGAATAGGGGTTCTTAAATAGGATATTAAAGTTTAAGCTTGATGTAGGCCGGCCTACATTGTATTTGAAATTTTTGGTGAGTACTATTTTATGACAGGTTTAAACTTAAAGTTTGATTTGCTAGGCTCAGTACTGAAAAACTTCCCACTGCCAAATGTGTCATTATTGAATAATTATACTGAACCAGCAAAATCATCAAATGATAAAACATACAGAGTCATTCCTTTCATTGACTCTAGTAAATGTTTCTCAGCCTTGGCAAGAGGTATGTAGATACAAATGCTGCAGATAGGTAGCACAAATTGTAGATATTCTGTGGATTTCCCTTTGTGGTTCTTTTTGTTCTCTCCAAGGCAAGAGGACTGCACCTGAAAGTACATTTAAGGAAAAGATCAGCAATGGTTCAATTAAAAAGAAAGAAAACCCCGAAACTAAGCCCACAATTTTAACATGAAAACCCAAAAGAAAAGACCCTTCAATCTACAACTGTAGCTAAAATGAACACAAGACTTCAGACCTTCAAAATTTGGATCTGGAGTAGTACTTGAAGTCAACTTTAAAATTGAATCATTACTGAGTAAGTATTGGTCAACGAAATACAATACAATACAAAACTATACAATACAATACAATACAGTAAAATACAGTACAATACACTACTAAGCACTATATCCATGATCTTGGTCATCTGGTTCGTTGCTTGTCTGGTTCGTTGCTTGTCTGGTTCGTTGGTTGTTTGGTTCGTTGGATGGAGTGTTGGTTAGTTGGTTGATTAATTAGTTAGTTGGTTGGTTAGTTTTAACCTATTGGGTGGTCTGGTGGTTGTCTGGTTGGTTAGTTGGTTGGTTAGTAAGTAAAGTTAGTTAATAGATTAAGCCTATTGGGTCATTGGTTGATCGGTTGGATGTCTGGTAAGTTGGTTGGTTGGTTGGTTGTCTGGTTGTTTGACACCCCCCCAAGAAAAACTGGAATAGTACTGGGAGCAGCCCGCAGGAAAACTGGAATAGTACTCGGAGTCCCCCCCCCTGCTAATGGGATGCAACTGATTGCAAGAGATAAAAACTGGTCAAAAGCGACATCTATGGTAAGTCCTTGAAACTCAACCTAGTCCCCTAATGGAGACAAATGTGATTTCAACAGGACTGTCATTCCACTGGAATAGTACTGGGAGTCCCCCCCCTGCTAATGGGGTGCAACTGATTGCAAGAGATAAAAAACTGGTCAAAAGCGACATCTACGGTAAGTCCTTCAAACTCATCCTGGTCCCCTAATGGAGACAAATGAGATTTCAACAGGACTGTCATTCCGCAGGAAAACTGGAATAGTACTGGGAGCCCCCCCCCTGCTAATGGGATGCAACTGATTGCAAGAGATAAAAACTGGCCAAAAGCGACATCTACGGTAAGTCCTTGAAACTCATCCTAGTCCCCTCGTGGAAAAAATGTGATTCCAACAGGACCTTCTTTTCACAGGGAATTCACCATCTGTGCTACAAATAGATAAAACATGTTGTAGTAGTTGTTATTTTACATAAAACTTTACATAAAAACTTTAAATAAAACTTTCCATTATACTTTACACTACACTACTAAAAATTTACAGAATATTACAAAAAATAAAATTTATTTTTCCCAATTTGATATAAACCAGTAGACTTCCATATCTTTGATTTTGAAACATGAACTCTATCCCCCCGGAAACCCAACCACCCCCCTCCCACTTTACCTTAGAGTCCAAGTTTCTCCACCCAAGATATGGGCTGGCCAACAAAAGTCCACAAGTAAATATCAAACTGGGGGCGCCCCCCATCCCAATGCAAAACCAGGAAGGAATACTTAACTTAGGTAGCAGGAACGCAGCTGTTGTCTCTGTTGTGTTGTTGGTCATCGGGCTCCTCATCTCCAAGCTGAAAGGGAACCTGAAAACAGAGGAACTAAACTGATATAATAATTGAATAGAAAAAAGTACTTACTTTGGTGCTTTGGTGACATGAACATGAACACCTCCCGCCCATGATACTGTTTACGTGGACCGGACCTGATGGCTCAAAGTTGTCGAAAGACTGATCCAGCTGTCGCCCTAACTTGGTGTGTTTGCTGCATCTCTCTCATAGTTGTACCTGAAAGATACAAGATAAGAAAATGAAAAATACAAGGATGCAATTTGGTCGAGTCACTTCCAATACAAGCGGAGGAGGGAATGCCAAGTACATTAAGTGAAATAAAGGCAGTCATCATTTAGTGTATTTCTTAGAAAAAATGTTTGCCAAACATACATGTGCCAACAATTAATGGGATTAGAATCCCAACAATTGAAAAATGTGTCATTGTGGAATAACCGTACTGAACCAGAGAGCAAAATCATCAAATGATAGAACTGATTATGAGTTACAGTACCTTTAACAAGATGGTATGTAGATATAAATGCTGCAGATAGGTAGCACAAATTGCAGATTCTCTGTGGTTTTCCTTTTGTGTCTCTCCAAGGCAAGAGGTATGTAGATACAAATGCTGCAGATAGGTAGCACAAATTGTAGATTCTCTGTGGTTTTCCCTTTGTGGTTCTTTTTGTTCTCTCCAAGGCAAGAGGACTGCACCTGAAAGTACATTTAAGGAAAAGATCAGCGATGGTTCAATTAAAAAGAAAGAAACCCCGAAACTAAGCCCACAATTTTAACATGAAAACCCAAAAGAAAAGACCCTTCAATCTACAACTGTAGCTAAAATGAACAAAAGACTTCAGACCTTCAAAATTTAGATCTGGAGTAGTACTTGAAGTCAACTTTAAAATTGAATCATTACTGAGTAAGTACTGGTCAAAGAAATACAATACAATACAAAACAAAACAATACAAAACTATACAATACAATACAATACAATACCAAACAATACAATACTAAGCACTAGATCCATGATCTTGGTCATCTGGTTCGTTGCTTGTCTGGTTCGTTGCTTGTCTGGTTCGTTGGTTGTTTGGTTCGTTGGATGGAGTGTTGATTAGTTTGTTGATTAATTAGTTAGTTGGTTGGTTAGTTTTAACCTATTGGGTGGTCTGGTGGTTGTCTGGTTGGTTAGTTGGTTGGTTAGTAAGTAAGTTAGTTAATAGATTAAGCCTATTGGGTCATTGGTTGGTCGGTTGGATGTTCGGTAAGTTGGTTGGTTGGTTGTCTGGTTGTTTGACTTCCCCCCAAGAAAAACTGGAATAGTACAGGGAGCAGCCCCCTGCTAATGGGATGCAACTGATTGCAAGAGATAAAAACTGGTCAAAAGCGACATCTACAGTAAGTCCTTGAAACTCAACCTAGTCCCCTAATGGAGACAAATGTGATTTCAACAGGACTGTCTTTCTGCAGGAAAACTGAAAAACTACTGGGAGTTCCCCCCCTGCTAATGGGATGCAACTGATTGCAAGAGATAAAACTGGTCAAAATGCGACATCTACTGTAAGTCCTTGAAACTCAACCTAGTCCCCTAATGGAGACAAATGTGATTTCAACAGGGCTGTCTTTCC